GCAGCCAAAAAAAGCACATCAAACCATTGTCTTATATGAACTCAAGGATATTTTTATACTCTGCTGTTCCCTTATCTAAGCACAGTAATGCCAGCTAATTAAAGACAGTTTATAGATAGTTTTAGATATGAATTGAAATTGAAATATGTTCTCTTGTGCCCCATAAGTAATATAAATCTGTCGAAGCTCTGGACTAGGAAACATTATTCTATAGATGACATAGCAGAGGGCAGTGTTTTATGTTTTTTTAATAAATCTCCAAAGTTAAGAAATACTGGACCAAATTTATACTCATTCTAAAATGTCAATCTGACTTTTTTATCTCATTTACCCTATTTACCCTCAGGTTGCAGTGACATAAACACACTCAGGGTATAAATCAGAGAAGATTTAAACCTATTACTCTTTTGAGCTATCAACTTTTGGCTTAAAAGGATTTTACTCACTTTGGAAAGATTTAATTCTATATTTCAAACAGTTAAAATGCCATCCAGTCTAATACAGTTTTATTGGAATTATCACAGAAATTAATTCTGTTAATTTTTTTTCTTAATTCCATTACCTATGGCAATTTAATTGTAACAGACTTTAAGCAGTACTTTAAGGTGAAAATTCTTGTGATTAATTGTTTCTAGAACAACCCTTGGCATAATAAATATGTAAACATTGGATATTTCTTTAGTATGACGGCTTTTATTAACATTACAAAAATAATAGGATAAATTAAAGATCAGTTTAAACATACATTAATTGAAAACAAGCAAGTTGTAATGCTTTAGTTTGGAAAAGGCAGTGCAATTAAAACCAGGCAGCTGTTGTGGAAACCTTAAGGTTCAATAGGAAAAGCTATAAATCATGATTTATAGTGAGAGCATGCAGTTACTTGAAATGGATCAAACCTGAATTAAACTCGTTCCAAAAGTACACTTTATAAGTTCTTTATCTAGCTTTATATGATCTGCAAAATGTCACTTAAATGGTGGCCAGGGATACAATTTGTACTACCCGTGAGAAAACAGAAACAAAGTTAAAGCTCAAGAGAGTGTAAAGCTCGTTGTATGTTCCAGTCATACATTAGTCCTCACAATATCTCTATAAAGTCCCTTTTCACTGCAGTTATTTTTTTTACACTAGCATTGGACATTTCGTTATATTTCTGTGGTCTTTGAACTTCATGGGATCGTATATCTAGGAGCAACTTTGTAGCACAAACTAGTATAAAAGGGAACAGCATTATTTCAGAGTTCATCTTCAGAATGAGAATGTATGTGAAGGTATAGAGAAATGTTTGTGTGGGGGAAAGCACTTCATTTATCAATACAGATTTACATTGTCAGCCACTCTTCTTGATGAGAGGGCTGAGTAGCAAATAGCTCTCAGGTAACATGACTGCAACTATGAATATGTTAATGATCCACATGAACAAATTATATAAAGGGACAAATCATAGGGAAAGGTCATCAATATCTGACCTTGCACCACATCAAATGAATGTTAAATTATCAGTGAATGGGACAAACTTGGGCAATAACCTCTTAGCCTTGTCATGAAACTGTAGAAGCAGAACTTCTGGCAGATTTTTTACCTCCTGATGCTTTCAATGTCCTGTTGGATGGTAGTGTATCTTTGTTTCTAGAAGGCCCAAGATATGAACTCTTCAACTCCTCCTTTTTCTACTGCTTTACTGGAGCAGAAAAGATATTCCACAATGTCACACAGATTGTTTTCTTTTATGTATGCCACAAACAATGACAACCAGTAAAGGAGACTGAGGTACCTGTAACTTCTTCAGTTGCTGGTGGCTTCACAACAGGTAAGCTGTTATTCAAAAGGTGAACTTACACAAGTAAGAAAATATCCATTTTAGTAGAAATTATTGTTTAAGTCAAAACCACACTGTGGTTTTCAGTGTCAGCTGTCTGTGTCAAAATCTGATCGAACAAGGCTATTGTGGGATTTATTTTGATGCTGACAGTCATGCAGTATTACCACTGGTGCTACAGACAGAAGCACAAGGCAGATGGGTGCTGTCATTTTCAGAGCCATTAGTATTCCAGGAACTGAAAAAGCACAGAAAATAACCCAAAATATGTAAACACATAAAAATGATTAAAATTCAGGAAATTATTTAAACAAACAAGCAAACAAGCAACAGAAATAAAAACAGAGCTCAAATATTGAGCAGCATGCTCAATTTCCTAATCTGTTTGCAAAACCTTTTAGGACTGTAAATCCACAGTAGGCGACACAGAGACACACATTTTAAAAGTCAGTTACACTTGGTTAGAACTGTAGTATTCCAGAAAATGGATAAACCTACTGCATAAAGAAATGTTTCAGTTTTTATCGTCATTATTTGAATTGTAAAATGATAAGCATGGAAAGATGTTGTGTAACTGCTAGACAATTTTAGGAAATTGAAGCATTCTGATTATGGTTAGGAAAAGGAGATTGTTGATTGCTCAGATGAAGATTTGAGTCTTCATTAAGAAATGATTATCAGGTCCATGGATGAAGGGAACATGTGAGTGAAAGTATGGGTTTAGGCAAGACAAATGGCTCATTTTATTTCACTTTTGTATAAAGCCAACATTCAAATCATGCTTTGTGTGAGTCTGGGCTATGCATTCTGAGTTTCTTGCAGCACGTTGTGGTGGCTAACAGTCAAACACCTATATATATATATATATATAATGGCCAGTCTTCGCGAACGAAGATCTGGGGAAAGGTCTTTTACCTTTCCAGCCTGCGCAATGGATTTTTTAGGTGAGACACAGCCTGCGCTGAACTGAGCCCACCCTTTAATCCTAAGGTTCATCTGCCGGGGCCAAGCAAGCTTGGACAATGGCAGTGAGGTCCTCAGGACGTAGGTTTGTTTAGAGTGACCTTCTCATAGATGGATGGCCTCACAGGGCTAACGGGTTCCATCTGCCCGGGAGACCGAGGAATCGAACCCGGGTCGCAGAGGTGAGAGTCCTGCATGCTAACCACTAGGCCACCAGGGGTCTCAAAGTCAAACACCTACCTAGCTGTTTATTCACTTCCCCTCCTCAGCAGGAGAGGAGACAAAAGAGGAAGAATGGAAAGGAGAAAGCTCATGGATCAGGATAAAGGTAGGGAGATTTCTTACCATTACTGTCACAAGCAAAACAGACTCAACTTGGAAAAATCAATGTAATCGATTGCTAATTAAAATATATATTTATTTATTTAGGTAATGGGAAATGAAAAGAGAAATGTCAAAGCAACACCTTCCCCCCCAACCCCACCCTGTCCTTCCTATCCCATGCTCCTGCTCCAAGTGGTGCAGGAGTTACAGTCACTACATGGCAGTTTCTTTGCTCCTCTGTATTGCTCCTTCCTCCTCACACTCCTCTGCTCCAGTATGGACCCTCCACAGGCTGCAGGGGATATCTCTTCTGATATGAAGCTCATTCTCCTCTGACTTCAGTTTTCTCTCTGTTATTTTACACTTCTTTTTTCCTCCCTCTCTGTCTGGCATTTTATGAATTTTTTAAAATATGTTTTCATGGAGGTGTCATCAGGTTGGCTGATGTGCTCAGTTGCATCTTCTTGTGGGTCCATTGGAGCTGATTGTATCTGGCACAGGGCAGCCCCTGGCCTCCTCCCACAGAAGCCCCCCTACAGCCTCCCTGGCTACCACCTTGACAAGAGCTGTAAAATTTTGTAAGATTTTAATCATGTGGGAAATCCAGTTCCTTTCCAATTTTTTAGTTTCTCTCTCTTATACATCACAAGAGACCACTTGCTCCGAATTGACTGAAAGTTGAAACTGCAAAATCATGATGTTGTTGGTTAAAAATAAAATTACGTGGTCCAGAATACAGCTGTGCCACTAAGTCTTTGCTTTCAGAAAACATAATTTCTTTTATTCTTTAGCACTGCTAATTGAAATTTTCATCCTCCCTCTCAGCACTGAAGTTATTCTGAAATCTAGCACTGATTAAGAAGAAAGAGTCTATCACCTCTGGAAAACTTAACCTTAAAGCTTCTATTTTTCAATAACTGAGCTGCAATTAAACAATTACTTTTATTGTTTAGTGCTCATACTTTAACAGCTTTTGAAAACGTTGTTATAAACATCAGTTGTTTATGATCCCACAGTTGTAAGACAATGTTATTTGCAGCTTGGTGGGTATTTAATCTTTGGTGACTAAGGGATGGATCATTCTTGAAAGCTTTTTGGTAGTATTTTGTATTTCCTACCATTAGCAGTGAAGCTGTAGTTCTAGTCGCATCCATTTTGGCATAGAAGTCTTTTCTTCTAGTTCACCTGTGTAGCAGCTATTAGAAAAAAAAAATCTTAGATTTCAGTTGGTGCACTAAGTATTTTATCTAAGGATTAGTAATCACTCAGCTCTGGCATGTTGCAGGAGCAACAAAAAGACTAAAAGACTTGGTGTTTGACCTTTTACAACAGTAACTTCCAAATCTTAATGTTACAAAATTTGCTTAGCTACAGTTTCAAAGTAAATAGCTCCAAAATGTTCTGCTATAGTGCTGAACTATTTAAAAAAAATTCAGCAAAGACATATTCAACCACTGACAAATGAAAAAATACTTCACACGGGGGGCATAGAGGAAAACAAAATGCAGAAAAGAAGCAACAGAGGGGAAAGCTAATGCAGGAATTAAATAAGAAGAGTACTTTATATGCTGGATATGATAAAGGCTGGACAAAGCAAATTAAACACCTTCACTTGAGTAGCCTGCTCTCTAATGACATACAAAGCTGTCAACAAAAGAGAAAATGTCACCAAATGTCAGCAGCAGAATAACCACAAAATAAATCAGAACATTTTCTTTGAGATGAAAGCTGCATAAACTCCATGAAACTTTCCCAATCAAGTTCTAAAAGAAGGAGAAAAAACCCTTAGGGAGGAAATGTCAATACTAATAGAAAGTCAAACAGAAAACAACCCTATTGGGACAAAATGAAAAATAAATTCCTAATAAGTAACATCCAAATACAGGCTGACCTGAATGAATGACCTTTTACAGGGGTCTCCAAATTTAGAGGGAAAAAAATTCTGAATTAGAACATAAGACAGTAAATTGTGTTATGAAAAAGTACATGTTCTGTGGTAGTGTGTCAGTGGAAGTTTTGTGCTTAGTACTTTTCTAAGTCTTTTTCTACTGTAAAGATGCACTTTGCATCTTTCCCGCAGTTCGATGATTTAGTTCTTCTTTGGCAATGAAGAATAAGTTCAATCCCTTAATACAGCAAGCATCCTGGGCTCAGGTACCCAGAGAGCATGAAATTTGTTTTCATTTTTTCTGCCTAAAGAACATTTTCACCCTCATATGATTTCTTCAGACACCCCCCTTGTGTGTTCAGAGATAAAGTATCCTTATTACCACCTCCAGACATTTTTGTCCCTTGTATGAAATTAAGACCTTTTTAGTAAAAACTATGAAACATTCATAATGTATCAGCCAATGGATAGTTTTGTGTTTTACATATATACAGTGTATAGATATATATATACTGTATACAACAGAGGGAAGGAAGAAAGATGTAGGTAAAGGGGAATTTTGGTAGAAGAGATGTACTACCTTTAAACTAATGCAAGATTTTGTTTCTATCAAAAAGGAAAGAAACCAGCTCAAATAGATGATATTAGGTTTAATACTACTGCCACAGAAACCCTCTAGGCTTTGTGTCTACTATGAGTTTTGTAGCCTGTTTGCAGCAGCATCATCAACATCTAAACAATATATTATATGCCTCTACTGGCTCTACAGATGCCAAGGTAGGTTCTAGAGGATTTAAGAAAGAACAAATAGAGGAGAAGGGGTAAGAAAAAGAAAGAAAAAGTAAGAACCAAGACCCTTGCATCAGCATAATGTTTGAAGTAGGAAATATCTGTATTGTCCTGCCAGTGATTACAGCAGAAGTAATAAACCTAAAATTTCATGACTGGTTATACTGGATTTGGGTGAAATGGAGTTAATTTTCTTCATCGTAGCCCATATGGAACTGAGTTTTAAATTTGTGACTAAAATGGACACCAATGTTTCAGTTGTTATTAAACAATGCATACTGTGATATTCCATGCACTTGAAAGAGTGCATGTCTCCTCCTGTTTCCCTTACTGAAACTACTGTATGCTGCAAAAGAAGGGCTCCACTAGGCCCTCTGATACCCAGTGTGGAAGTGCAAAAAGGTACTAATGGAATGGCAGATATTTAAACAAAACAACTGACAAAATTTCATATATATATCTATACCTAGAGGAAATCTGTTAAAAGAAAAGACACTTCAGGAAGGAATATCTGAGAAGGAAAGAAGCCTAAGCAATAAGTGAGGTTCTTTGTTTAAGGAGTACTTTAGTGCCTGGCAAAAAACTTGTATTTCTTTATGGATGCTGAGATAACTAAATCCACAAGAAGGTTTACACCTGCATAGAAAGTAGTTATTACTGAGTAGTGCCCTGATTTAGATACCTCACTTAAGAGATGTAAGACTTTCTCCCTCATCACTTCCTCCTTATCAGCCTGACACTGGGTTTTCTGATTCCTGTTCCCAGGGTTGAGACAGACTGGGTGAGACTGTGAACCCCACAAGATGACAAAGTACTTGAACCCAAGTTACTACCACCTCTCAACCTCCCTCTCCTGAAGGTTCATGTGTGATCATATTGATGATCAACCGTGACATCAGAACAGAGTGAACAATGGCCTTCCCATCATTTCCCCTACCTTTGACTGCTGAAGGATCCAATTCTCAAAGACTTATACTCCATGAGTATAATCCCAATGAACTCAAGAGCAGAATTTATGTCTGTGTTTATTCAGTATATGGCCCCTTCTGGCTTTTCATCCATGGAAAAATACAGCCGAATAAAAGCATCCAGAATCACAGAGGTCCTGCTCTCTACGTCAGTTTTCCACAGTGTTTTTCTAATCCAGCTCTCCCATTTTTGTTTTATTTTCATTGAAATTACTGGGCAATTTAAGGGGTGCTTTTAAGTCCTGTTATTCATTGTGAGATTAGTGTGGACATTCAGACTCAGATCAACAAAGTACACACCTAGGGATATAGAAAGTTTATGAGCTCTGAGGATCTCATTCACTAGAAGGGAGGAATGTTAGCTGGTGCTACAGTAATTAATGGTTAAATTACCCTTGGGTAGTAGGTAGTAGGTAGCATAACTTTACAATCTGGTAGCTTTAAATTTCACGACTAATTGTAGCAGTGGGAGTTAGAATGCAGGTTGAAGACATAATGAAATTACCACAGGGAGGAACAGACTAATGAAGTGAAGTCCAGCAAAAGTTATGGCTACATTACTGTCAACTTGAAAATCTGTAAATAACAACTTTGAAAACCATTGAGGGCACTAGACAATAGATTTTATGTGTATATGAGTATGAAATGTGGATTGGGAGGAATAATTGAGTTTGCTATATTGTCAAGTATGTACTTGGAAAAAAAAACCCACTTGGTCATCATTTAATCTCCTTTGCACACCTTTTTCATCTTATTTGCATTTTTAATGCAAAACCCAGCAGAATATATCTTCAATCATACTGAATTGGTTTGTGTCAAGTATTTATATACAACTTCGTAAGTCTTTTAATTCTTCAGCAAAAAACGTACAGGAAAGCATAATAATCTCTTTATGATTTTGGTACTTGGAATTTCAAAGTCAAACTTTCACAGTTTTATTAAGAATTCTGAAAACTTGATTTATTAAATAGTAATTTTCAAACAGCTTTTTAATGAAGTGGACTGTTTTAAATCAAATTGTCTTCAGTTAATAACATACAGAAGAGTGAATCAAGTGTTTTAGAATATGCGGCTGAAAAACGAACTCTATAGGGGTCTTTTCTTCAAGACATTATAATATGAATTTATAGATCTATTTTTTTATTTTTCCAAGTTCCTTTTCTGAGAAAATGTCATATGAAGATCAGGTATGATGTTTTACATGCTATAGAAGCTTGAAAGAATGACATTGCACCTTCCAAAGGAGGCCCCAGCCTCTACTTGTTACATAAGCTTAAAAGCATTTGATGGGACTCTACCCCTATAACGTCATCTTCCTAGGTACTGTGGGTTTTTTTATGGATTATCACTTGTATCAGCTACATCAGCTATATCAGTTTCACCTATATCAACAATATTAGTTTCTGCTTTACCCAGACCTTTGTATTGCTTAGCCTGTGAATTGTGCCAATAGTGGAAATTCCCTTAGTTCACTGGTCAGCCTATGCCATCAAATCAGTCCTTCTAATCCCAATTCTTTCCTAATATCCTGTTCTATTTGTTGTTAGTGAAGCCTATTAATTCTTGTCTGGTATGTCACTCCAATGCAGGAATAAATTATTTTTCCTTTGTTTCACAGCATTTATCATAATTAAAACCTATCCCATGTCCCCAATCAGTAATGCAAGAAAAAATTATTTTCTCATTTTTCACAGGCTTTAACATAATTAAAACCTATCCTACCATGAGATATTGAAAGGGTTAATTACTTAAGCATTGTTAAAATCACTGAAAGACTTTTGTCCGCTGTAGCAAACTACGAAGAGAAGCAACTGCTCAACACAGCCCATCCCTCCCTGAATATGCTGTAGGGGTAGATACAATTTCGGAAGAATTTGTAACAGACAGTTAGGAACTCGGTTTTCGTTAGGAGGGCTTTCTACCTAAATGATAACTCTTTCTCAAAGGCAGTTTCAATGATTTCCCCCCACCCTGCATAGCAAGAGAAGTTCTCAGCCTCTCTCTGATATGTGAGAGGAGAGAGAGTGCTCTTACAGACGTGCATAGAGGCCTTGAGAAGGTGGGGCAGAAACAGAGAGGATAAAAGGGGCCCTGAGGGGGCAGGAACTCACCTTTTGCCCCTGAAGGCCTGATATACCACATTGTAAAAAAGTGGTCCTTGCACCTGAAATAAACCATTTTTTTTAATGTGTCCACTGCCTTGGCATTCTGGTGAAGAATACCTGCACATGTTTACTTTACAATGCCTACTAATTTCCACTGTGAGGGGAACTTGAGATAAGATAAGGGCAGTACTATTGTCCATTTATCCCAGGAGAAGAATGTATCCATGAGTGTGAGAGGCTGGAATGCTAATGGCTCAAAAAAATCAGGATGCAAGCTGATAATGTAGGAAGAAACCACCCAGCTGCTGAGGGCATGGACAGCCAACACCTCAGGCTACAACCTGGGTGTTGAACAAGGTAAAGAGAGAGGCAAACCCCTCCAGGTGAAGTAATGTTTCTTTGTCCTTACACAAATGACTCAGCTGTGATAACTCCCTTCTGAGGAAGCACTGAAACATTCATGGGTGGCCTGGAGACATCTCTGCTGTTGGGCCACAATGGGTCATAATGGACTCAATTTTGCTGATGTAACAGGCAGTTGTAATGTCTTAGAAGGTGTCAAAGGCTCAAGACTGTGACCCAGTATTACATCATCCATTGTAAAACTCCTTGCCCCAGGAGAGGTACCAGGGCATTTCTACCTAGCCTAAGCATACTAAAACCCCTACGGACTCTGCGTTTCATCGGGGCCTTCCCTCACCTATGGGCTTCCCTTGATGGATCTAGATTGCAACCATCACTTTGACAAGACTGGAACCCTGACCAACCAGAAAATCAGAAGAAGAGAATAAATGGGACACCACTGGAATCCACAAACTGGTGGTATTTCTGTACCAATCATTCCCTCTGTCACATTCTTTCTCTCCCCACTCCTCTCTCTTTTTCCTTTTTCTTTCTATCTCTCTCTACCTCACATTTACTGATAAATATTGTGCTATTGACTTTGGTATATGGTCTCATTTGTGACTTAATTCAGGCAGAGTCATCTCTCTAATAATTTTAATAACCATATCTTAATACCTACATCCCCATTCATTTTTATCTTTAGATTAAAAAGCTGTCCAGTCTTGTCTTCCTCTCTTTTCTGGTCCTCTGACCACCTGTTGATAATCTCAAAGCTTTATTCAGCTAATTACTATCTTTCTAGGACTGCAGTAACTAAGTCTGCTCAGTTCATGAGGTCTGTGACCATGATAATTAGAGCAGGGAACAGGTATTTAGACTGATATCTGCTACCTAGGTCATCCTTT